CTAGAAAGACTAGATCTTATAGTTGCAAATTATGAATGGATAAATATTTATCCAGAAGCACACGTTCACCATTTATCTAGAACTCATTCCGATCATTGCCCGTTATTGTTAACCCCAACCAATGCCACTATCTCCAATGAGCCCCTTCGAACCACTAACACCCTCCACCTCAACGAGTTCACAATCTCCAAGTCCAGGAGAACAAGAAATTTTAACTCCTCAGGAAATAGCAGCAGTCATGGAAGAAATGAGGGAAACACGAACGAAACCAGTATGGCTAGGAGCATGCCATATCTCGGTCCTCAAGGAATAATACGAAAAAAAATACTACTCAATTGTCCACCAGAAGTGACCAAGTGTCTGATCAAGATGAAGCCACCAGTGAACCCAAAAGCAGGAAAATTTGCAATGGTGATCACACCAACTCTCAGGGGGACGTCCCAGCAAGCAACCCAGGAGAATCAAACATAGGTGGAGCAGATTACAGCACCACCACAACCACCTCAAATAGCTAGATCCGTGAATTTTGTAATATGGAATTGCAGGGGTGCACAGTCACCAGATTTTCGAAGGAACTTCCATTCCATGCTAAATTATTATCAACCACCCTTAGTAGTACTTCTAGAAACATACATAACGGATCACCACACTCTTACGGAAGATTTTGATTTTTCCAATCTCTCCTAAGCACCAGCCGAGGGTCAGGCAGGAGGCATAGTGGTGCTATGGAATGATAATTTAGTTCATGTTACTGAAATTGTTGTCACCAATCAGGAAATCCACTGCATGATCCAGGTATGTCCACAAGGTACCCCCTTTTTATTTACGGCTATATATGCAAGCAATGCTCTATCATCGAGAAAAATATTATGGCAAAACCTAATGCATATAGCTAACATGTACAAAGGACCCTGGCTAGTGGGGGCGATTTCAATGACATTTATTATTCGAATGAAAAATTTGGAGGGTGTACGCTAAACAACACTAGAGCAGATCTAATGCTTATGTTTTAACTACTGTAACCTAATAGACCTAGAATTTATGGGTTGTAAATACACTTGGACGAATAAACTAGGAGGGGCGCTATGATACTAGAAAGACTAGATCTTATAGTTGCAAATTATGAATGGATAAATATTTATCCAGAAGCACATGTTCACCATTTATCTAGAACTCATTCCGATCATTGCCCGTTATTGTTAACCCCCACTAACAACCATTATAAAAAGAGTAATATTTTTAGATTCGAAACAATGTGGCTTTCACACCACGAATTCCCCAAATTAGTTCATCAAATATGGCATCATAACCCTCCTACACTTCAGGCTATAAAAAATTTTACATCACTAGTCAAAACCTGGAACTATCATTCTCTTGGTAATATTTTTTCAAAAAAGAATAATATTCAAGCTAGGCTAGCAGGTATCCAGAAATCGCCAAACTACCCCACTAGCACTTTTCTACAAAATCTAGAAAAGGACCTAATAGCCCAGTATAATCGTATTCTCACACTTGAAGAGGAGTTTTGGAAGTTAAAATCTTGCGTTAATTGTCTTAACCAAGGGGACGCCAATACGGGATTTTTTTCACTTGTCCACTATAAAAAGAAGGCACTGTAACAGAATAATCACCTTAAAAGATTATATGGGTAATTGGATTTCTGATATTGAGCCACTCCAGCATCTAGTTACTAACTACTACCAAGATCTTTATACAACCTCTCACACAAATTCTTATAAATCATATTCTACCACTAATTACAATACTCTCTCACAAGCTGAAGCTAGTACGCTTTTACAACCGCTGACTGATCAAGAAATTTTTCAAGCTGTGCAATCTTTCCAACCTCTTAAATCACCTGGACCAGATGGATTACATTCATTATTTTACCAAAAATTTTGGCCTCAAATCCAGCACTCCTTAATTCTTTTCTGCAAAAATATTTTCCAACAAGGGCATATACCCCTAGAACTAAACTTAACTTACGTTTGTTTGATTCCAAAAGTTAAGAGTCCCTCAACTATGAATCACTTTAGACCGATTAGTTTATGCAACACTCTTTGCAAAATAATCGCAAAAATTATTGCTAATCGTATTAAATTTTTTCTCCACAAATTAATCAACCCTACTCAATCTGCTTTCCAAAAAAAATAGAAGGGCAGCGAATAATGCAATAATTGTTCAAGAATTACTAACTTATTTTAGGAACTCTAAATCAAAGTGCCCCAGCATGCTACTAAAAATAGACCTCGAAAACCTTTTGACAGAATGGAATGGAGCTTTATAAGACGTTCCTTAACATTCTTTAATTTCCCTCCCCAGTTAATATCTCTCATTATGTCCTGTGTGTCCATCACCTCTACTTATATACTTTACAATAGATCCTCCATGAATTTTTTCACACCATCATGCGGTGTTAGGCAAGGTGATCCACTCTCACCATACCTCTTTATCCTGTGTATGAAAATGTTGTCTAGACAAATAAACAACGCAGTAGACTACAACCAATGGAAACCTATTTCATTGAATTCTAAATGACCTCAAATTTCTCATCTACTCTTTGCAGATGATATTATATTGGCATCCAAAATAACAACATCTAGCTGTGATAAAATTATAGACTTACTAAACTAATTTACTGACCACTCGGGGCAAAAAATTAATTTTGAAAAATCGAAGATTTTCTTCTATAAATATTGCTCCGGAAATGACAAGAATTTCATCTTGTCATCTTTCAACATGGTGGAAGGGACATCATTTGGTAAATATCTAGGTTTCCCTATTTTCAACTCCAACCCACAAAAAGGGACTACCATATCATCTTATATAATTTCAAAAATAGGTTAGCCGGCTGGAAAACAAACCATCTTACAATGGCAGGTCGTACTACTTTAATCAAAGCAACTCTAAATACCATTCCCAATCATATAATTCAAATTATGTCCCTACCCACTCATATAATCAATAGATTAGAAAGCTATCAAAAAAAAATTATGGGGTTCTACCTCGCAAAAAAAAAAAAAAAAAAAAGATTCACCTTTTAAATTGGAAAACAATAACTACTACTAAGGAACAAGTGGACTAGGTATTCAAAAACTTCGTAAAAAAAATAATGCCTTACTAGCCAGTACGGCTTGGAGGTTGTTTCATCAACCCCACACACCTTGGGCATCCTTCTTAATTTCTAAATATATTACATCCTCTAGACTCCCTACTAAACGAACCTCCATCTTATGGAAACATCTTATGCATGGATGACAGATTTGCCAAATGGGATTAAAATGCATGTCACGCGGGGTACCCATGTAAATTTTTGGAATATAATTGGGTTGCTCCGAATATGAATATTAAAAGTCTTATATATGGGCCTTAAATAATGTTGAACACCTACTCTCAGTAGCAAATGTACTTCAACTTAACAGCTGCCCTAGCTCCACTCTATCCTTTGAATTACATCAATAAATAATCCACATAATTAATAATACTTGCATCAGTGCTTATGGGACAAACCCCGATCATATAAAATGGGGATTAACACCCACGGATAACTTCTCTGTCAGCTCTTGCTATAAAGCTCTCACTAAATCACCTCATAATGACAACAACCATGGTTGGATTTGGCGATTAAAAATACTTCCCAAAATTAAACACTTTCTATGGCTAATTAGTCACAATAGATTGCCTACCAAAGACTGCATGCATAAATTAGGAATCACTTCCTCTAATATGTGTACCATTTGCCAAGTGGAAGAAGAGACTATTACACACATCCTACTACGTTGTGTGCATGCAAAACATTGTTGGCGAAATCTCAAACTGCTTCACCTTACACGATCAGTAAACACCCATGGAACTCACAATCATATCTGGCTTCAAAAACTTGTTAATCAAAGGGCAATTTCCACACACATGCCATACATCTAAAACAGCTTATTCCTTTCACTTATGGCAGTTGTGGAATACTCGAAACAAAAATTGTTTTGAAAATGTATTAATCCAGCCTTCAATCAATTCAATTCCTCAATTAACTACTGAACATCTTTTTTTAACTAACACACACACTCATAAAAGTATTAAAATGCCTATGTATGTCAAATGGAAACCTCCTACAAAGGGGCTCATCATATTAAATACAGATGGGGCATTCCATTGGAACAAATCATGAGCAGGCTTTGGGGGGATATTTAGAAATCACACAGGTGATTGGGTAATGGGATATGCGGATCACTACCAAGCATCCAATGTCATAGATATAGAACTTATGGCCTTACTACGTGATTTGCAAATAGCAGTCCATCACAATCTAACCCCGCTGGAAATCCAGATGGATGCCCAACAAGTAATATCCATGTTGAACACACATACCATACAATACTCATCTTTGTTAACTGATTGCAGGTTCCTGATCCGTCAACTGAGTAATCCAAGGGTCAGTCACACGTACAGGGAGCAAAATATGGTAGCAGATCGACTAGCACTTTTTGAAATGGAATTATCGGGCAGTAACATCACCTTTTTGGCAGATCCTCCTCCGTTCATCATCAACCTTCTCATGCAAGATAAAAAGGGCCATGAAACACCTAGAATGACTGCCATGTATGAACCACTAAACACTTTTTGTAATCTGTGGGACATGCCATCTACAAGCAATGTCCCCAACAGAGACTCTCCATATCACTCAAACCATAGTAATAGTAGTACTACTAGTCACAGCGTAGCAATGCACAATAGTGCAGTTAATGTTATTCCTAGCACTTTTTGTAACGCTGCCCAAGAGCAGCCGCTCCCTTTAACATCTCTAGTCTTTTAAACCAAAAAGAAAAAAGAAAAAAAGAGTGTGAAGTGTGAACTCATTCTCAACTAGTTAAGACTTCCCAATTTTCCAATTCCAACTAATTATGGGATTTCCAAAAGAAAATAAATAAATAAATACGGGTCTTCGGATACGATTACCCGAATACAACAAGTACAGGGTTAGTTGATCGAAGTTTTAAGACACAGAAAGTCGTGTATACCTTAACTTCGTCAAAGACAAAACATTATACTACTAGTTTTCAACTCGTTCACCACTTCGCTGTCCAAATTCCTAATTCTTTCCAAGAAACGGTAAACCCTAATTCCCAAAATTCGTTTTTTGTTGTTCTATTAATTTTAATTGTTTTTCTGAAATTAAAATTGATAATTGATCGCAGATGAGAATTGGGTCATCAGAAGTTTGGATCTTGATTTCATTATTGGTGGTGGCATGGAGTTCCAGAGGGGCTTTAGGGATTAGATTTGTGATAGACAGAGAAGAATGTTTTTCCCATAAGGTTGAAATGGGAGAAACTGTTCATTTTTCATTTGTTGTTATCAAATCAGAGGGTTCTTGGCATTACAGTGAAGAGGGTGTTGATCTTGTGGTATATGTTACTCAATTCTCTCTTTGTTTGTGTTTTTTTTCTCTCTCTTCATTAGTCTGTATACTTGTGTAATTTTCTGTTTACGTTCTTGTTTGTGTGATTTTTCGTTGATTTAATTAAAAAAATTAGCCTGTGTTTTAGGTATAAAAGGGGTTATAGACTTATAGTAGTCATCAGATTAATTATTCTATGATTCTGAACTGTTAATACTGCAAGTGTGGTTTGAAATTCTAGCTTTGTTGTTTTGCTTTTATTAAATTTGTGTTGACTTTGATGTTAAGTTTCATTAGAAGCTTGAATTGTCCGTGAGAAACTGGCAATGTGTTTTCTTTGCTTTTATTTTCCTCTCTTGTTCTGTTATTTGCAGCTTCAATCCTTTTCTAATGCACAAACACTGGACACCATCACTTGTAATTTGGTTTTGGTGGTGGTTAGGAGGAAGGGGAGTCGCTATTTTTTTTACCTTTTTTTCTTGTGGGGTGGGGGGTCCGAGTCCCAACTACGAGAATTAGAATTACAAGGGTTCATATTCAAGGAAGTTTGAATCTTGGAGCTGTAAATCATGAACTTTTCTTTAATCCACGTCAGCTTTTCTTGTCAATTCGTTTTAGTTTTTTACTATTTTGCGATGGGTTCTTTGTGTTATCTAGAGGAAAGGCTTACATAGCCATGTTTTAAATTCTCTTCTAGAGAAGAAGTATTCTTTTATCATCCATTATCTGATGGATTATTCAATTGATGTCACTATGTTGGTGGAAATTAGGTGAAGGGGCCTTCTGGGGAACAGATTCATGATTTTCGTGACAAAATCAGTGAGAAGACTGAGTTTGTGGCCCACCACGAAGGAGTTTATCATTTCTGTTTCACCAACAAATCACCCTATCATGAAACGATAGACTTTGATCTACATGCGGCCCACTTCGTATACCATGATGAGCATGCAAAAGACGGTTAGCGTGTTACTTTGCTTCATCTTACTTTGTTGTTCTGGAGTACTTTGCACTAGAGATCTTACCTTTTAGTATGACGCTGCAGAGCATTTCAAGCCATTGTTTGAGCACATTGGGAAACTAGAGGAAGCTTTATACAACATTCAATTTGAGCAGCATTGGCTAGAGGCCCAGACAGACCGGCAAGCAATAGGTATAAATAAAGCGTTTGCATATTTCTTATATGATTCTCCTACAATTCAGTAAATAACAATTTTATCGATCACTTACTGTTTTTTCTAGTTGAAAGAATCGTCTTTTCCCTTCAGCATATATTCCTGTTAGATAATTCTCCTCTCCCATCTTCCTCACTTTATTTTCACACAGTGTTAATCTTTAGATCCAGGGAAATCACTGTTATCGTTTCAGTTTGGACTTTCTATCTAATTTTCAGTTTTTTGTTGATCAATTTCACAAGCTTGAGGATGTGTACCTCTCCTTCATCTTGAATGTGTCAATGGTTTAGCACATGATCACTTAAGCTCAAAATCTTGGTATTAATGGTAAAGAAGTTCGAGGTTGCTCTTTCATTTTGCTAAACTACCTCCGCATTATGAATTAATGTAGGTGTTATTTGCTCATGTTGTAACATTTGAACCAATTAGGCATTTCTGAGGTCGTGCTCTTTGGTTTAAGGACCAATACATCCATGACTTAGTAGTTCGGATATTCACATGCATAAGTGTCACTTTTCTGTTAACTAATGAAAGGAGAACATCATTTCTTTCGGTATATTATGTGTTTCTCTTGGAACCTCAAGTTTAATATAATGACATGCAATTCTGTCAGAATCATGATTGTCTACATAATCCAAAGCTGTTCTTCTAACACGGTGATATATTTCCTATTTTACGCAGTGAACGAGGGAATGAGCAAAAGAGCAGTCTACAAAGCTTTGTTCGAGTCCTCTGCTCTCATTTGCGTTAGCATCCTGCAAGTTTTCCTCCTAAAGCATCTTTTCGAAAGAAAGCTGGGTCAGTCCAGAGTTTAGCTTTCGAGAGAGCAGAGGATATTTCAACTGCAGAATCCTTCAATTTTACATGTATTCGCTTTCTGTTCCGTTTCAGAAGACAGGTGGTGTAAAAACTAGAATGAACAATTTTCTCCAGAAATTAAGTTATTACAAGTCCTTTTTTTTCGGAATTTAGTTGGGCAGTTGGTGTTGACGACTTTAAATGAAAGAACAAAGCATAAAAAGATTGTTTATCCTGACTTTGGAGATTTTTTCAATTGCTGTCAAATTATCTTTCTTTTATCGCATGTTACATCGTTACCTTGAGCAGGCTTGATCCTGAATTTACATTTCTCCTGCAATTTGCCGATCAGCTTTAGGGGTCTCAGTACATCATTTATTTCCGTTGTTTCGTGAATATTATGCAGTCCTATGCACAAATTGTAGTATTCTGAAATAAGACTCTTTCGCGTAATAGGCAATCGTTTGCCTGTGCTGGTGGGGACATAGCATAGTTACATGGCACCTTCAATGTGCACGCAATCTAGTTCAGATGCGCACAAACTAGTCCAGACATCACCGTTATAAAAATAATATTCAGGGAAATGTGTAGTAACATACGAATGTAGTGCTTGTAACATAGCGAAGAAAGAAGGGAAAATTAAGAGCAAGAATTTGACATGAAAAGATTATCGGGTTAAATGGATATACCTACTTATTACAGAGCAAATTTGACCAAGGATCATCAACTTTTATGCAAATTACTCCATCCAAATAGATCACTAAATTTTATCAAATAAATGAACATTCAAATTCCCTATAGACATCGTCGAATTCTTGTTTGAGCAAGCATTTTTATTACTGTTGCTTAGACAGTAAGATCGGAACTGAAGAGGGGAAATAAAACAAATAAAGCATCAATCAAATATGAAGTTAGTTTTAAGAATCTCAAGGACTTGTAGCCCGGTTGGCCAAGCTGCAAAAATCAGCTTATTTTGAGAAGTGCTTTTCTCAAAAGTACTTTTGGTGAAAAGCAGTTTGTGTTTGGCTAATTAGTTTGAAAAGCACTTCTGAGCAGCAATTAGTGTTTGGCCATGCTTTAAAAAAATGCTTCTAAGTGAATTTTTTTCAGAAGTGCTTCTCAAAAAAGTGCTTTTGGAGAGAAGCTACTTTTTTCTGCTTCTCCAAAACTGATTCTGCTTCTCCTCAAAAGCACTTTTTTTTCTTCCAAAAGCTTGGCCAAACACCTCAATTTTTGGCCAAAAGTGCTTTTGGCCAAAAAAAAGGCACTTTTGACCAAATAAAAAGCTTGGCCAAACAGGCTATTGGTCGAAAAGGAACTCTAGTAATTGGGATTGCATAGAGAGTCAAAATTGCCCTTTAACAAGCTAACGTCCGTTGGTAAAAGAAAAAAAGAGAAGGCCAACGCCTCGTTTAGCTTCAGTTACCAACTTGACTAAATCCACACATTAACTTAATTGAAGGTTAAATGCATTTAGTGAAATAAAACAAGGACCAAAATTGGAATTAAGCTTTAACTCAAGGACCAAAACTGCTATTTTCCCTTGATTAAAAGCAAACAGGCATCATAATTTAGAATGCAGCTCCTCGTGTCCAAACAAACCTCCATGATTTTTCTAAGCATTTTCAACTTATCAGGCAAAAACAGAAAAAAAAAAAAAAAAAAACCAAATAATCTGATGAAATTAACAGAAAAATTTACGGTTGAAAGGTGCTTTACAAACCACACATATACGAAAGCAAGCAGACTGCTCTTCTGCCAATGGTACAATAAAAGATACAACATATAGGTACATCAAACATTTTGTCTTTCACATTTTGTCCCCACAATAACCACAAGTTTACAAGACAAAAGGGACTTAAGCGGCGTCTCTGTCTCCAGCAGCAAGCCAAAAGAAGTTGCGGGGTTCATTATGAATATGCATCCTATATTCAACTTTTACAGATAACCTTGTCAAGATTCTGCGTGGGGGCTCTGCATACAGCAAAACCATTTTTTCTGCAAAACAACATATTGGTGAAATTCTAAGAAACAAGAATGCTTCAAGGATCAATGAGACAAGTAGCATTTATAAGAAATTCAGATGGGTCACTGGACCAGTTTGTCCAACATTTACATCAGAAAGCAGTCACCGATTTGTACTACGTACATCTAGTCACATTAGCAAAGACACAAGAATCCAGCCTGCCAATTCCAAGACTAAGTTTGAAAATAGAGGACAGCTCTCACAAACCTAGCCAAGCAGGTCAACTACTCTTACTCGTATAAGAAAAACACAAAAGAAAAGAAAATGCAGCTGATCAACTACTCAAATAATCTGAGCAGTATTTTCTTTTTCCCCATAACAAGTATGAAAAGAAAAACCATTCCAACAATAAAATAATTACCCTTTTTTGAGAAGCAATAACATAATTACCCTTGCTCTCACCTTCCTTCAATATTAAGTAACTACTTCATAGCAGTGGCACAACCAGAATTTCACGAAGGGGAGTCAAAATATAAAGAATCAAAAACACATGAAAAAACCAAGGCGATTCAACATATAGTATATACATAAATAAATAAAAATTACCTAACTACACAGTGTATTCACGGTGATTGGACTAAGGTGGCTCTACCACTGCTTCATAGCAACTATAAAAGTTCACTTAGATGAGAGCGTAGAAATCAAACGGCTGAATAACACTCTTTTTTCGATGACCTAGTACCAGAGCAAGCTTGCGAGCATCTCGACTAGTTCATCGGGCAGCATGCTACAGACCACAAGCATAGGTGCCTGGTAAACCTATCCACCAAAGGCTAAAGCAAATGGGCTAACAATAAGTTTTGTAACTCGAATTCAGAACCAGGATCTCTAGGTTGTTAATTCTTGTCTCAACCTCTCAACTTTCCCATTGGGGACAACTCAACCATCCCCGGTAAGAAAGCTAGGTCATTGTATCCAATGTTCTAAAACTAGAGGCATAGGCAGGGTCTAAGCCCCTTAACTTTTTTATTTTGATATTATGAAAAATACATTTAGAATTTTATAAAATTCAAAACTAAAGAATACACAAAAGCAAATAAACATCTTGTCATAACAATAAATGTTATAAAGAATCTACCCTTCTTATCTGTAAAAAGAAATATACTACGACATCAAATTCTAAACAATAGGGCAAACAGATTACTAATAAAAGTTATAGTCAAACATTTAAAAGAAAATCTAAGCTAATGTTTTAGTATATACAAGAAGAACAATCAAAGTCGTAAAGTGTACACTTGACATTCTGGTGACACACGAGGCGGACAACCCATGCATACGGTATGCACGGGATGAAAGCCCCACCTATAAAGTATTAGCCCTATAAGACTTTTGCTCTTCATGGTTGCCTTGGTGTGTTTAAAGCCTACAATGCAGCCAGCGAATCCCAGAAGATCCTAATTTTGCCTTTAAATATTGCCTCACAACCTTTTTCCCACTTTATCGATGGCTAGAAAGGAATTGATTATAGCAAAGCAAGTAATGAGCTCCCTAATCATGGTTTTAAACCTATGCTTACAAGGAAAGTTCCACTTAGAGTTAAGTTTGACCTGACAATTGGCTGAGAGTAAGTAATTATGGGTTCGTATATACTAGTTTCTCTAATCTTTTTGATCAAGTACTAGTTTCCCTAATTAAGTGTGCTCTAGTTCCAATACACTTTTCCCTTTTACCCCAAAAAAAAAGAGAAACATAACTCCAGGAACCCTTCCAATATAACCAGGACATATGATCTGACCACAGTCCAGCAAGAACTAATTATGCTCACAACTGGAGAGAAGTTCTCAATCCTACTTCAAAGAGCTGCAAAAGGGTTTTTGAATTTATTAGGTCACCTTGGATTAAAGAGAAGGCAATAATAAGTGAAATAATTAATTGTATGGTATGACGATCAATAAGAATTGCACCACCTTAGCTTATCTTTACTCTTTCTCCGGTCATCTAAATTGAAGGGGACCCACGTGGCTGGGTGTTTAACCAACAGAAACCCAATTTCTGGTGAAATTTAGCTAATTTTGAGCGTACAAGCTTGAGCGGCACTGCAATTTCTTGACCCAAGCGATGAGCTGTGGATTTCACTTTAGTGTTTATCCCATACGGGTATATGAATAACCTACTACCATGTTTCAAACTACTGTATCAAGAGATAAGCTGTGGATCTTCAAGTAATTAAGCTCAACCTTTTGCATTGATCAATCAAATTATTCTCAAAAGATAATTAAACCATGTGATGGAAATTTTATTTGATAAAACTTGCACGTACAATTCACTAAATCACAACCACAATACTCTAAACATATGAGACAGCTGAAGATAGCCGGAGATGGCTTAGTTGGTGGAGATAATATATCAATTAGGCCAACTTAAGTCCTTCAACTGTTTGAGAGGGCCGTAGAGTGGGATGGGATTTCACCTATTTGTAGTTGAATTATCCTCTGAAAGGAAAAAACTCTCTGTAAAGATGCAGATTCACACAGCTAATGTATTTCACGTTAAATATGTAAAGAAGAGCAAGACGCAGAATTATTTTAACATTTAAACCAAAGGAAGAGTACATAGGTAATAGAATCTACACATTTCCAAAACTATTGAAATAACGTACAGTTTGAGGCTTTAATGGTTCTTCTCCTTGCTTTGTGTTACCATCAGCCTTTGAAGGTGACTCTGGCTTGCCACCAGTTTTTTTCTCATCCCTGGCCTTGTTGAAAATCACAGTAAATCCCTCTGCTGACGCTGGGTCATTGACATCCCATTCACCAAACTTAGGCAACGGTCGACCCTTCTCCTGCTCGTAGGTAGATTGAAAGCCAAACAGGAAAAATAAATAATTGGACAAAAAAGAAAAATACTCATGAACAATATATGAACAAAAAAATTGCAGAGAAAGCAGCTAAATTATCAGTATGCCACATAATTTTGTTAAAACCATAGTGCTGAAAATCTATGACTCCATTCCGCAATCACCAAAGGACACAAGAAGAAGGCGAAAACTCTCCAAAAGTATAATAGCTACAACATGACAATTTGAAGTTGATGCATTAGGAAGCCCGCACAAAGTAATTCCTGAAGGACAATTCTGGAGTTCCTTTGACCTCACTAAAGGCTCATAATTGTGCGAACTAGAAAAGGAAGTGGTCGAGGTCCCAAAAGCTTGTGAATTAAAAAAAACACCTGCTTGAAATCCATACCCAAGGAATGGGGATCAGGAATCTGAAAATCCAGAACCAAAGTTTAATGATGAAGTGGTTATGGAGGTTTGCCACAACAGAGCAATCTTTGTGGAAGAATGTAATCAAGGCAAGGTATGGGATGGAAGGAAATTGGACAACTAAACCTGTAAATAGTCCTTATGGGGTAAGTTTGTGGAGGTCGATCAGAAATCTTTGGTCTAAACTCAGTAACAAATCCAGCCTCAAAGTTGGAAATGGAATGAAAACATCTTTTTGGAAAGATATATGGCTTGGGCAAAGAACTCTGAAGCAACTTTTTCCGGATATTTACAGTTTGAATCAACAACAAGGATCATCTGTTGGAGAGGTGTGGACAGGCCAAGGGTGGAACCTCACTTATAGAAGACTACTAAATGATTGGGAAATTCAGAGATTGATAGCTTTCTATAACACTCTAGAACAATTCAAAGGGACTTCCAATATTGAGGATCGTGTGATCTGGCAAGGGGGTAGAGAAGGCAGGTTCTCTGTTAGATCAGCTTACAAGGAGTACAACCACTCTAACAACCAAATTGGCTGTTGGCCTTGGAAGTTGATATGGAAAGTTAAAATCCCATACAAAGTTGCATGTTTTACTTGGCTTTTAGCAAGAGAGGCTATTCTGACACAAGATAACCTCATCAAGACAGGATATCAGTTGGGATCCAGATGTTATTTATGTGAAGAACATGAGGAGACAGAATCTCTTCTGTACTCCCTCTTCTAATTATGGATGGATACACTGGTTTAGTGTAGGCCACCTTTTATATTAATACAAACATGTTACCTTTTCAAAAAAAAATCCATACCCAAGTATGCGGAAGTCAAAATTATCAGGCCTTCCCACATTTAACAAACTACATTAAGCATCTACCAAATGTCAATTACGTTCTCCTTATATGAACTAGACTTCATATAAAAGCTGATTTCAGTAATTGTACCCCGATATTACTGGCATGTTTTCTCTAGAATGTTCTTAAACCAATATTAACGAAGTCCTCAATACCAATAAAAGGGCTTCGATATCTCCAGGAAGGTCATAGGCCCTAATGGTCACAACAAAACCAACATAGCAACCACTACCTTTCTAGAAACCACTCAACTTAACTCCAACTGGACCCTTAATTATGCATGCCCATAGCAGATCTAAGAATTAAAAGGAGAACAAAGCAGAAATTTATTATGAAATCCACACAAGAGGCATTGCAAGCATTAAAGTTAAGCTATTCAGAATTTTTGAGGGAAAAAAAACAAGCAAATCAACTTAACAAAAATATTGAATGAAAAATCTTACTACTATTGCAGGAAGTAGTATATCTAATTAATGCATCCAAACTCTAAATGTGAATATCTCTNGGATGGGGGATGGGGATTTTATCTTGGCTTAAGCATGGAAAGCCATACGAGAATTAAAAATTAATTTCGAGTTGCAGCAGAGTATCAAAATGCAACAAAACCATACATTATACAGGATCTGCTTGGAAGTCAAGATTTCTGATCAAAATCAAAAAAAAAAAAAAATCAAGTGTAAATTTAGAACAGATAAAGCGATCAATGAAAACCCATGTAACATAAAACCCCAATAAAATCAAAACAAACATAACTAAAAGCCTTGTACAGGTATAGATAAATAACCAATACATATAACATCATATAACGTACTGTAATATGAAATTAAGTGAAAAGAAACCAGTAATCGAAAGGATTTAAATATCGAATTAGGGCATATATATATATATACATACCGACATGAATCCCAAAAACAATAAGAAGATTTCTTCACTGGAACGGAGCGAGAGAGAGAAGGAATTTTTGTGATAGAAAGTATGAAAATGTTAAAAATGTGCAATTTGGTATTAGGTGTATTGAGGTGTATTTTGGGAATGGAAGATATATATGGAAATTGGTACATACTATTATTATATTCGCTCATGTTCTTTTCGCTGTCATAATTTCTAAAAATAATTATTATTTTAGAAAGTCTAGAAAGTATTAATTAATTTTTTTATAAATATAATAAAAGCAAGAGTACGTAATAAATTTAGATTAAAGAGCCGATATAAACGATTTAGTCAAATTATCTTTTTAATTAATATATCTTTAAAAACACGCAAAAGAGAACATGACAAGTAAAAGGAATCGAAAGAAAGATGCATTTAAGTTTTGATTTTTAAGCCCTTTGATGTAAAAAAATATTTTTACAATTAAGTCGTTGGAAGTAATTGTATGTAATTATATCTAATAGTGTTGATTAGATAAAACTATTAAATGGCTTTTTACGTTAATGATATTAAAAATTATTATACTGTAAATGTATATAAATTAGTTTTATTATATCTATCTATATATATATTAAAGGAAGAAAGTTACCATATATAATTGACATTATGGTTTAGCCAAGTGGCAAGCTAATAAATGTCAATATTATATGGTAACTTTATTCTATATTTGGCTATTTTATATAAATACAAATATAAGTAAAAAAAAATCTATATATATATTAAAGCAAGAAAGTTACCATATATAATTGACATTATGGTTTAGCCAAGTGGCAAGCTAATAAATGTCAATAGTATATGGTAACTTTATTCTATATTTGGCTATTTTATATAAATACAAATATAATATAAAAAAATCTATATATATATTAAAGCAAGAAAGTTACCATATATAATTTACATTATGGTTTAGCCAAGTGGCAAGCTAATAAATTTAATAGTGTTGGGACGACCCGGCCCGTCGTCACGTGAGTTACCGCCCCGTTTTCCCCATATTATGTTTCTCTATGCTTCATTATCGGTATTTGAGGTAATCGAGTTGGATTGGTTTGGTTTTGGTAGGAAATGAGACATTTAGTCTCTTTAAGGAAAGCTTGTTTTGGAAAAGTCAACCGGAAGTTGACTAGTTAGTTAGAGGGCTCGGATGTGATTTCCGGTGATTCGGTTAGCTTCGGGGGATGATTTGTGACTTAGGAGCGTGATCGGAATTGGTTTTGGAGGTCCGGTGTAGAATTAGGCTTGAATTGACGAAGTTAGTATTTTNGTTGGGTACACAGGTAGAGTTGAGCACCGCATTTCATCCTATGACGGACGGGCAGTCCGAGTGTACCATTCAGATATTGGAGGACATTTTGCGTGCCTGTGTTATTGATTTTGGAGGTTCTTGGGCTGAGTTCTTGCCACTTGCAGAGTTTGCTTACAACAACAGCTATCAGTCCAGTATTTGGATGGCGCCGTATGAGGCCTTATATGGGAGACGGTGTAGATCTCCGGTTGGATGGTTTGAGCCCGGCGAGGCTAGACTGTTGGGGACAGAGTTGGTTCAAGATGCCTTAGAGAAGGTGAAAGTGATCCAGGAGAGACTTCGTACAGCTCAGTCGTGTCAGAAGAGTTATGCGGACCGGAAGGTTCGAGACGTATCCTATATGGTGGGCGAGAAGGTCTTGTTGAAGGTTTCGCTATGAAGGGCGTTGTGAGATTTGGAAGAAAGGAAAGTTGAGTCCACGGTTCATTGGTCCTTTTGAGATCACTTAGGAGAGTTGGGGAGGTGGCCTACATGCTTGCTTTGCCACCCATCTTGTCGGGAGTTCACCCGGTATTTCATGTTTCTATGCTCCGAAAGTATGTTGGAGACCCGGCCCATGTGTTAGACTTCAGCACGGTTCAGTTGGATGATGACTTGACCTATGATGTAGAGCCAGTGGCTATTTTGGGTCGTCAGGTTCAGAAGTTGAGATCAAAGGATATAGCTTCGGTAAAGGTGCAGTGGAGAGGTCGGCCCGTAGAGGAAGCTACTTGGGAGACCGAGCGGGAGATGCGGAGCAGATATCCTCACTTGTTTGAGACTCCAGGTATGTTTCTTGACCCGCTCGAGGACGAGCATTTGTTTTAGTTGGGGAGGATGTGACGACCCGGCCCGTCGTCACGTGAGTTACCGCCCCGTTTTCCCCATATTATGTTTCTCTATGCTTCATTATCGGTATTTGAGGTTATCGAGTTGGATTGGTTTGGTTTTGGTAGGAAATGAGACATTTAGTCTCTTTAAGGAAAGCTTGTTTTGGAAAAGTCAACCGGAAGTTGACTAGTTAGTTAGAGGGCTCGGATGTGATTTCCGGTGATTCGGTTAGCTTTGGGGGATGATTTGTGACTTAGGAGCGTGATCGGAATTGGTTTTGGAGGTCCGGTGTAGAATTAGGCTTGAATTGACGAAGTTAGTATTTTGGCAAATTCCGGTTGGTAGGTGAGATTTTGATCCGAGGATCGGAATGGGATTCCGAGAGTTGCAGTAGCTCCGTTAGGTGATTTTGGATGTGCGCGCAAAATTTCAGGTCATTCGGAGATGTTTTGGTCGGGTTTTTGATCGAATGCGTATTGCGGAAGTTTTGAAGAAACTTAGGCTCGAATTCGATGTGATTTAATGGTTTTAGCGTTGTTTGACGTGTTTTGAGGATTGAAGCAAGTTTGAATAATGTTTTAAGATGTGTTGGTAACTTTGGTTGAGGTCCCGGGGGCCTCGGGGTGATTTCGGGTGGCTAGCGGAAGGAATTTGAAGTTGGAAAATTGCAGGTTTTTGGTTGCAGCAGGTGTTTCTGCATCTGCGGAAAGGAGATCGCAGATGCGGTCTCGCAGAAGCGAGCTAGGCCTCGCAGGAGCGGAAATAGGAGCCCAGGTCAGGTTCCGCAGAAGCGGGACATTGGGTCGCTTAAGCAGTCCCGCAGATGCGAAGTTGGACCGCAGAAGCGGAAAGTCGCCTTAAGTGAAAGGTCCGCAGGAGCGGATGTTGACCGCATAAGCGGAAGGCGCAAAAGCGGGAATTAATCCGCAGAAGCAGAAATAACTGGCAGGTTAAGTGAAAACACCTTCCTCGCGAATTTTTGAAAGAGTGACATTTTGGACTCCGAACCTTGAGAGCTTTGAGGCGATTTTGAAGAGGGATTCGAGGGCTATTATCAGGTATGAACTCTTGGACTTAGAGCTTGATTTTTATGGTGTATAAACATGAATCTGGACTGAATAATCAAGGAATCAAGGTCAAAAATGGTGGTTTAGGGCTTGAACTTAAGAGAGTTTAAAATGGGGATTTGAGGGGTCAAATGGACCCCGATTTTGATGATTTTGATATGTATAGACTCGTGGCGAGACGAGGAATTCCGGAGTTGTGAATTTCGTAATTTTTCGAGAAGTGGGACCGGGCTCGGGTTTTTCCAACTTCGTGATTTTTGATATTTTTCGAGTCTTTTCGATTGGGTTATGATCCATTAGCCTATTGTGATGTATTTCTTGTGGTTTTGATCAGATTCGACGCGCGAGGAGGTCGATTCGAGGGGAAAAGGCATAGCGAGCTAGACTTTGGCCGGCTAGAGGTGAGTAATGATTTTAAATGATGTTCTGAGGGTTTGAAACCCCGGATTTGCACAACTTGATGCTATGTTGAGATGAGACACGCGTTCCATGACGAGCGCGGGGTCATTTACTATTAGGGATTGTGACTTGGTCCAGTCCGGATGATATTTTACTGCGTATTAGCAATGACTTGTTGTTTTCACTATGATTTGGGCTTATTGCCATATTTGGGGCTTATTGCCGACTGTTTGAACTCTTTATGAACTATCATCACTGTTTTCCTCACTGTTTGAAATGTCATTTGAACTCAGTCCATGTGATTTACACTGTTTCTTGAACTCAGCCATATTTACTCAAACTCGGAGTTTTAAACTGATATTTGAACTATTGTTTGAGCTGAGTATTATTGCTTTACTGTTGCCCGAGGGGCTGTTGACTATTTCTGGACTGATTGAGGCCAAGGGCCTTATGTGAGGGCATGATGAGTGAGGTGAGGAGGCTTTCAGGCCTCGTATTGATACTGTTCAGGCTTTCAGGCCTTGTTGATAGCGCTTGGGCTGAAGGAGCCCCTCCGGAGTCTGCGCACCCACAGTGAGCGCGGGTACCCATCTAGAGTGATTAAATATTGAACAGTGGTAACAATGACACTGTTATACGCGTTTGGTCAGGTAACAATGTCTGACCAGTGGTAACAATGGCACTGTAGCGCGCGTTTGGTCAGGTAACAATGGCTGACCGGTTAGGTAACAATGGCTGACTTACTGGTTGAGTATGATTGATTTTTAACTGTTTTCAAAGGATTTTCTTACTATATTTCACTGGTTTCTACTGTTTATCTGATGTTGCTGCTTGAGATAGCATTATTTGTGCCCTTATGGGATTTTATATTCTCAGTCGTTATTTATTTTTATTACTCACTGGGTCGGAGTACTCACATTACTTCCTGCACCATGTGTGTAGAGACAGGCACAACTGAGTTCGTACCTGAGCGCTGATTTCCTTCCAGACCAGGCGGACTAGGAGAGACGAGGTAGCTGTCGACGTCCACAGCCTCGTTTCTTCCTTATCTTCTGCATATTTTATTCATCTTCAGACTATGTTTCCAGACTTGTAGTATTTTCATCAACTTTGTAGTAGCTCGTGACTTGTGACACCCCGATCATCGGGCCGAGTTTGGGATGGTTTTTCCCCGTTATGTTACGTTTTATTTCTGCACTTATGTTTATTCAGTAACTATGATTTAAACCTGTTTATGCTAAGAAATCGTTAAAGGAAGTGTTAATGTTCTGTTGGTTGGCCTTGTCTTCACGAAGGGCGCCATCACGACCGAGTTGGGAATAGGGGTCGTGACAAGTTGGTATCAGAGCCTAGGTTGGTCTCACGAGTCATGAGCAGGTTTAGTAGAGTCTCGCGGATCGGTACGGAGACGTCTGTACTTATCCTCGAGAGGCCGCAGAGCCCTTAGGAAAACTTCACATTCTTGAAATTCTTGTCGTGCGATTTTGTTGATCCGGGAACTAAACTTCTGTGTTCTATCCTCTCGCAGATGG